AAAGTAAGCCTGGAAAGTTGATTTGGTCCAAGGTCATCTCACGCTGATGTGTGTTGCCCTCTCGAGCGCAATAATCTACATGCTGTTCCCTTGAGGTGGAGTATTTCTCATTCCTCTTCCCATCTTGAGAAAAAGTCAGGACTTGGAGTGAATTTGACAGACTGCCCTTGTGCACCTACCATGTGCTCAGCCTAGATCTAGATGTTGGGCTTAGAAGGCATCAGTGGCTTGGGAACCCAACATACCATGGAGCAGACAGTGGGTGGTAATTGGGAACCGGTTAAGGACTGCTGATAGTGAGGGTTGGCTAGGAAGAATTCTTGAGAGCAAGGGGCCAGGGTAGAGAAAGGGATTCTAGCACAAAGGATGTGCTAGAAACACTGCTGACCTTGGGATCAGACAGACCTGGGTTTGAGTCTTGGCACACCTATGTATCGGAAGGGCGACTAGCCAAATCCAGGATAATTTGCATAGCAAAATAAATCATGATAGTAACACATTACAGCTCATAAAACAAAGCACACATCCACAAACCCATATTGATTTAAATAAACAACCGAATAAATAGGGAAGAAGAGAAAGCTCTTCCTTACAGTAGAATTCCAATTAATAAATATAGATGAAATGATGAGAATAGGAAATCACCAATTGGCAAATACCACTGTAATAATTGTTTTGGGTAAGAATGATCAACGGATGCTAAACTTAGTGGGTGAAACTTTGATGAAAACCAGGATATTTACATAGCCTCAAATATCACCCCCCCAAGATCCTTATTAATTATAAAAAACAGTAATTGTACCATGGAGAATCTTGGCAGATACCAAGAGTCAGCCAAGAGATCAGAGTTAAATTCACCAATTAATGAGACGTATTAACATCTTCTGCCTCCTGGTACCCTGAGAAAGGCACAGCATCACTTTTGTGGGATTCTTGCCCAAGTGCATAACCTCAATTTATTCATGAGGAAACACCACGTGAACCCAAATTGAGGAACATTCTATCAAATAACTGGCAAGAACTTTTAGAAAGTGTCAGTGTCATGAAAGACACAGACAGAGGAGCCATCACAGATTGGAGGGGAGTAAGAAAACATAAACAGCTAAATGCAATGTGGAATCCTGCATGGGATCCTGGTCAGAGAAAGGGCATTCACTGAAAAACTGGTTAGATTTGAATAAGATTTGTAGTGAATAGTATTGCATCAATATAATTTCTTATTTTTGACAATTGTGCTATAGTTATGCAAGATGTTAATATTTTAGCAAGCTGAGTGAAGGCTGCATGGGGAATTATTTACATTATTTTTGTAACTTTTTTCTAAGTCAGAAATTATTTCTAAATGGAAAGCTAAGAAAGAAAGGAAGAAGCGTGGCCTTTGGCAAACGTCTTTCCCTCTCTGAGCCTTCATTTCCTCAACTGTAGAGCAGGACAATCATCCTAATCTATTTCACGGTGTATTGAAGATACAACGGAACAGTGCAAAGTAGCGATGTGTATGTATTGATGCTATAAGTTAGTCTTGCTGTTAATAATGGCAGCTCATGTGTCCTGAGCTGCTAAAACTTCGGGAGGGTTCTACCCTAATGAGAAACATCTGGCTGCTAGCTACTTCCCCCCAGCCATTTGATATGACCTTGCCGGAGAAATAATAATGCCAGCTTTGTGGTTGGGTGGCTGTTGTCAAGGAGATGGCGCCAGATAGCCCAAACAGCTGGTGGTAGTGACGTCACCTCCAGGCTTGGCAGAAAGAAAGGCCATGGCGAGACAGAGACGGGGCAAAGGGCTTCGTCCCTGACCATGCAAACAGGAAAAACAACTTCCCAAGTAGCCTATCCTTTGTGCAATTTGTGCTATTTAAAGTTTCCAGGCTCATGAAAGGGTTTAGCACACAATCCTGGAACATGATCATATATGGAATAAGGCAACGGATTTATCACAAGGAGAATTCCCTGTAGGCTCGCTCTTCTTTACAGTTCCCAAAGTATCTAGATGATGCAGCTCCATGAGCTCAGCATTGTCTGTCCCATTTTACACATGGGAAAACCAAGGAAGAGCGAGGGGAAGGGACCTCAGGCCACAGGATAAGTTGGAAGACTTTCCGGAGTCAGAATCCAGGTGCCCAGACTTCCAGCCCTGCAATCATACTGTCCACACCGCCATTCACCTTACGGCCACCGTGTAGCAGTTGCCCAAGGAGTAGAGTCTGGTGGACACATCCCTGAAACACTGTTGTCTGGATGTAGACCTCACCTCTTAATCCTAAATTCTCAAGTGGAGAAGAACAAATAGAGAAGACAGGCTGCCTGAAACAACTAGGGTGTAGGCTTTCGGAGGGACCTGGGCTCAAATCCCAGCTCTGCCACTTACCAACAGTGAGACCTTGAGTACGTTATTTTCACCTCTTTCAGCCCCAGTCTCCTCATCTGGAAGTAAAATGGGGACAACAGTAGCACCTACTGGGGAGAGCTGTTGTGAGGGGTAAACGTGGCGGTGCATGCCACATGCCTGGCACAAGTGGCACATAAGAGATGCTCAAAATGTGCAAGTCCTCCTCCCAGTTTCCTTTCTGAAGAGCTGTCATCTGCCGGAATGAAAGTGAGTTCCTTCATCTGGGACGTCATGAATTTATAGCTGTCTCCTTCACCAGAATAGAGTTGGTTGTGCGTGAGTAGCTTTGAAATAAACACAAAGAAATCAGCTCCAGAGCTGTGAGGTCCTGAGACATCCAACCAATCCAACCCTCTTATCTCACACATGTGGAAACTGAGGCCCAGAGAGGAGGAGTGATCTGCCAGCGATCACACAGAGTCAGGGGCAGAACCAGGGCTGGAATCCTGACACCCCAGCTTCCTTACTTTTGGACACACTCGTCTCATTGGTTGAACTTAGTACTGGCAAGAACTGCTGGTTCCAGGGCTTCAGGGACTGCCCCTTCCATGGGGCAGGTATCTGGTGGGCCCACTGTTTCCTGCCCACTCTCTCTTTCAGGCTGTTATTTTATTACTGATTCTGGGGGTGATTGAAGAGCTAGGGAAGGAAGACAGATGGGCACAGGACCGTGAGCTTTGTAGGCTTCCCTAAAGCCGAGGGAGAGAAAGAGAGGGAGAGAGAGAGAAAGGGAGAGAAGGAGAATAGGATATTTGGGATTACCACTGACTGAGCCACGAAGATACCACTTGTCACAGACACCTTGCAGGATAGGTATTAGACCCATTTTCCAGATTGATGGAATCATGTATTCAACATATATTTTTAAACACCTGCTGGGTGGCAGGCACAGTGCTAGGTGTTGGGGATATGGCAGTGAACAATTCAGAACACAGTCTCTGCCCTCATGGACCATCCAGTTTACTGCAAGAGGAAGATATTTTAAAAACCCCAAACATATATAATTGCAAAATGTGGTAAGTGCTACAAAGGAAAAAACAGGTTGTGAAGAATACAAGAAAGGGCTTGATTTAGATTAGAAGATTAGAGAAGCCTTTCTTGGAAGGTAACACTTAAACTGAAGAGAGAGGAAACGGAGGCCAAGGGAGGACCTGCACATGACTGCAGGGAAAGTCATCATCTACCCATTCACTCATCTTTTCAAGTCATTTTTATGCAGGACTGTCTTGACAGCCTGCAGAGGAAGGTAGTAACTCTGAGCTGGGGAGATGAAGGTTGATTTCATTGGCCAAGCTCTGTCAAAATTACCTAGGTGTTGGAGATTGCTTTGCGCTTTAAGAAAGGCAGTCAGGGGACCGGCCTGCTGGCACAGCAGTTAAGTGCACACGATCCACTTCGGAGGCCTCGGGGTCCGCCGTGGGGATCCTGGGTGCTGACATGGCACCGCTTGGCAAGCCATGCTGTGGCAGGCGTCCCACATATAAAGTAGAGGAAGATGGGCATGGATGTTAGCCCAGGGCCAGTCTTCCTCAGCAAAAAGAGGAGGATTGGCAGCAGTTAGCTCAGGGCTAATCTTCCTCAACAAAACAAAACAAAACAAAAAAGTGGTTAAAAAAAAAAAGGCAGTCAGGGACTGGCCCTGTGGCTGAGTGGTTAAGTTCGCGCAGGCTTCGCTTCCGCAGCCCAGGGTTTGGAGGGTTTGGATCCTGGGCCTGGACGTGGCACCACTCAACAAGCCATGCTGAGGTGGCGGCCCGCATGCCACGGCTCAAAGGACCCACAGCTGAAAATATACATCTGTGTACTGGGGGAGCTTTGGGGAGAAAAAGGAAAGATAAAAATCCTTAAAGAAACAAAAAGAAGAAAGAAAGGCAGCCAGGGGGCTGGCGTGGTGGCCTCGTGGTTAAGTTCGTGGGCTCTGCTTTGGCGCCTGGTTTGCGGTCCGGATCCAGGCTCACACTCACACTCCGCCGTGGATCTGGCTGGCTCCAGTTGACAGACTTACTGTGCATGACTTTGGGCGAGTCATTTCCTCTCTCTGGGCCTCACGTTACTGATCTCAGGTGTGTTTGAACTTTAAAGCTAATAAAGGATCACTAAGTGAGAGATTGGAGAGAGAGTGTCGCTGACCACTTGGCTCATAGGGATGAGTTTGTTTCAAACTAAGTTTGCAAATTACTGCTTGAATGGGATTCTGCAGGCAGGATTTTTCTAAAGCCAGGCAGCACCCGATTATCTGAGTTTCAATTCAAGGTGGAAATCTTTTGAATGCACAGACCCTAAGGTTTGAGGGTATTATTCTAGAAAAGCACACCCCACGTTAGGAACTCTGGGGGTCCCTGAGGGGCTGGATTCCCATCTCCCGCTCAAATTAACCGACCAAGGCCTGCCTTTGCCCTCAACAAAGATGGCGCCTGCACTGGCCTCGGCCTGAGTGCCCTCACAAAACATGGCCGCCGGACTCTCTTTCCTTACATTTGCTGGCCTCAGTGCGGACGCTCTGCCCTTAGTTAAGATGGCGCCCGGCCGCGTTTCCCTGCCCGGCTTCTGACCCCGGCCGGCCGGCTTCACCGCGCGCGCCTTGGTGACCCCGCCCCGTTTCCGTAGGAAGAAGCGCCGGGAAAGATGGCGGCGGCTGCGGTTTGAATTCCAGCGGCGCCGCCGGAGTCCGAACAAGAGCTGGGTCGGAGGGGGCGGGGACCTGGGGAGCCTGGCGGGTCGCGACAGCGGGGGGGTGACCAGTGGCGCCGCCACCATAGACACCAACGCCACCACCTCCTCCGTGTCCAGGATGGACTCGGTGTTGGAAGAGGACGTCACCCTCCCCGGGACGCTCAGCGGCTGCAGGTGCGGCCCGGGCCGTAGGGGTTCGCGGTAACCGGGCCGGGGTTCCCGCTGATGGGGGTTCGCTCCAGCGGAGACTTGGGGTCTGCTCTCGGGGGGCTCTGAGGGTTTCCAGACGGGCAGTGTGTGGGCTGGGTTTCTTGGGGGGAGGCGTCTCTTTGGGACCCACCTGCTGATACTGAGTGTAGCGGGCTGCGGGTCCCGACTTCACCACATCCCCTTCTCTTGTATTTCGGGACAGACTTGGAAGAGGAGGTGAGGGGCAGATGTGGGGTTCTCTGAGGAGGGGGCCCTCTTGGAGTGTGCCGTCAGTGGGAGCTGGGTGAGGGGCAGTACCTCAATCAGTACCTTGAGGGTACTTGATGGTGCCGTCTGGCGGTTTGCTTTCATTACGGGGAGTGTAGCTGGTCTGTCCAGACTTTGCTTATGGGGTCACGTAGTGGCCACCAAGACTCAGGCAATGGAGTGCAGTGGTTAAGAACCTTGGCTGGAGTTGAACAGAACTGGATTCAAATCCAGCTGTTGAAACGAACTAGCTGTCTGACCTTGGTAAAGTGGCTTAACCTGCTTTCCCGTCTGTAAAACGGGGCTAGTAGTAATAACTACCCAACAGAGTTGGGGTGAGGATGAAAGAGAAGATGCCCGCCCAGCAGTTCGCTTGGCACGTGTAATTCCTGGCACATAATTAGTGCTTAAAAAATGATTCTGTGTTGCCACCACCACCATCATCTTCATTATCATCAATAATAATACAAATTGGGGAATAAAGGCTGAGCGCAGCCTCTCAGTGGACCTGTCCCCAGAGGCAGTTGGAGTCCACATTGCTGGTGGGGCAGGGGTCTCTCTTTCTGGTAGGAAGGCCTGACAGAGCCCTGCACTGCTCCAGGGCCGGGGCCCTCTGTTGTCCTGGGCTCCTGGTTGAGTGTGTAGGAGGACATAGAGGAGAACCCCAATGTGTTTATCCAGCTCTCCCAGGGACAGGCTGCTGCTTTTAGTTAACAGACCCTAATTGAAAGGGTGACCGTGGATGTGTTGTGCAAACCCGTACACTTAGAGTGAAATGAGCACAATTAATATTTATGCCTGGACAGCAGGCATGAACAAGTCCTGTCTTGGGCAAACCTGGGCAAATGGTTAGTCTGTTTATTGCAAGCCTACTGTGTATCAGGCACAGAGAAAGGCCCTTGGCAGCTCCTGCCTAACTTGGACCCTATGGTAGGTCATTGTGTCCCTTTCTCTTCATCCTACTGCTGTGCCCCAATAGACTGGGGGATGACCTGTCACCTCGATTGTCCTGGTTTCCTTCACACCTCTAACAGTCCTTTATACTACAGCTTGAAAGCTGTTTTTAAAATGTAAATCTGATCGTCACAGTCTGATGCTTTGTATGTGTAATGCTTCTCATTGTCGTTAAGATAAAGTCCGTTATTACTTGGCTTTGGGACCCAGACCTAGGTGGGTGTCAATCCCAATTCTTCCATTTAACAATCCTGTGACTTTGGGCAAGTCACTCACCCTCTGTGTGCCTCAGTTTTCATCATCTGTAAAATGGGTGAGTCTAAAAGGGTTTAGCCCACTGTCTGACCCAGAGTAGCAACTCAACAGATCGTCCCGTGTTCTCCTTTCCCTCCTCCCTCTGTTTGGCAGGACCCGGGTGGTGCATGCATTCCTGGTGACTAATCTCTTACTCATCTGCTTCAGGCCCTCCCCGGCCCCTCGCCACCCTCAGGATGAAGTTCTTTAATACGGCTTCCATGGTCCTTCGAATTCTGGCCCCATCTGCTTCACCAGCCTCCCCTGTCGTCCCTCTCCCTGTGTCCTCCCCAAGCCCTTCACTCCGCCCGGCTGCCAAACTCTGTGTCACGACCGGTCTTGCCTTGCTCTTACTGCTGGACCTGTGCCCTCACTGTTAATGCTGCCTGGATTGCCTCCCTGCTCGCCTTTGCTTTATTAATGCCCATTGTTTGTCAAGTCTCCATTTAGATGTCACTGCCTGGAAGCCTTCACTGACATTCCCCCGGCCCACCTGGGCCCTCTGTAGTCTTCTAGCCACCCTGTTTATCACTGACCCCATCTCAGCCCTTATTTACTGCACTGGGTTTAATTGACTAGCGCTGTCCAGTGGAAATATAACTTGAGCCACATATGTAATTAAAAAATTTCTAGTAGTCACCTTAAAAAAGTCAAAAGAAACAGGTGAAATTAACTTTAATGTATTTTATTTAACCCAATATTTCCACAGATTATTCTTCTAACTTGTAAACAACGACAAAAATTATGAATGAAGTCTTTTACTTTCTTTTTAATCTCACTACGTCTTTGGAGTCCGGCGCGGATTTTACGCTTACAGGACTTCTCAGTTTGGATAACTGCATTTCAGGTGCTCAGTGGGTACGTGGGGCCGCTGGCTCCTGGGTTGGAGAGTGCAGGTTGCTAACTTGTCTGTCTCTCAGATGAGACGATGACCCCTTTGAAGGGGCTGCATTTTCATCATTTTGGTAACCCTAGTTCCTAAACTGGCAGCTGGCTTATTATAGGGCTCAGTTACTATTTCTTAAATCACTGAATAAACAACGATCCTTTGAGGTGACAGTATTATCCCCTGTCTACAGGTGAGGACACACTGAGGCTCAGAGAGGTTTGGGATCCCACGAAAATTACGTGACTAAGCCGGGGCCTGCTGACTAGAGCCTGGCCGTCGGTCCCCTGTCCTGCCTTCCGCCTAGTTCTCTGGACCAAGCTGAGCGGATTCGGGGAGGAGTCTGTGAAGCTCCTGGTACTTGAACTGGCCCTTAGAGAGCGGCAGAAATGTCCTCAGAGACGGGTTCTCGTTTAGGTGGTCGCAGTGGAAGAGCGACATCCTTAGAATAAAATCAGCTCTGTTTGTGCTAATATGGGCGTCCTTCTTGGTAATTTCCAAGCCCCCGTTTTAGAGACTAGACTGGAGTCTACTTTGTCCTCAGCCTTTTGTTGAATTAGGTCACTGGGCGGCATGCGCTGCAAACCTGATCACCTGTGGGTGCCCCAAGGTGCTCCAGCCTGTGGGATTGAGGCCTGGGTCCCGGCCCCAGGAACCTCGCCCAACCTGAGGCCTTTGTTAAGTTCTGGTCGGGGGTGTCTGAAGAACGCGGGCTTTGTCCTCAGGATCACTGGGTCTGAATCCTGCTTCAGCCGGTTACTAGCTGGGTTGCTTGAGTAATTCACTCCGCCCTTCTGAGCCTCACTTTCCCATCGGTGATAATATCTACTTTATTGGGCGGCTGTGTGGATGAAGTGAGATTGTATCAAGTGCCTGGCACCTCCTAGGGAGCACCTTCATTGTTAGCTATTTTTGTTATATTGTTACCATGTTGCACGTTTCCTGGACAAGATCCTCTGTGTCCACAACCTTGGGTCCATCCCTTTGTTTTCATGCCCAGGGTTTTACCTCTCCCTAACTTTGAGCTTCCTAAGTTCTCCCATTTAAAATATACTATTAAATGATTTTTTTAGTACATTTACAGAGTTGTGCAATCATCACCGTAATCTACTTTTAGAACATTTTTATCATCTGAAAAAGAAATCCTGCGTCCCTTAGTAGTCACTCCCTGTCTTAGTGAGCTTGTACTGCTATAACACAAATCCTATAGACTGGGTGACTTACGGACAACAGAAATTTATTTCTTGTGGTTCTGGAGGCTGGAGGTCCAAGACCGGGTGCAGCATGGTTGGGTTCTGGGGAGACCCTCTTCCGGGTCGCAGACTGCAGACTTCCCATTGTGTCCTCACATGGAGAGCAGACAGAGGAAGCGAGCTCCCGCTCAGCTCTCATAAGGACAGAATCCCATTGGCGAGGGCCCCCCTCCTGAGCTCATCTAATCCTGATCACCAACCCGAAGCCCCATCTCCTGATACCATCACCAGCGATGGGAGGGTTACAGCATGAATTTTGAGGGGACACAAACATTCAGTGCATGACACGCCCCATTCCTCCCCCCACCTCAGCCTGGGGCAGCCACAATCTACTTTTTATGCCTAGAGTTGCCTATTCTGGACGTTTTATATAAATGAGATCTTACAATATGTTGTCTTTTGTGAGGTTCATCCACGATGTAGCATGTATCAGTATTTCATTCCTTTTTATGGCTGAATCATATCCCTTTGTGTATATGTACTGCATTTTATTTATTCATTTATTGGTTGATGACATTTGGGTTGTTTGTGCGTTTTTTTGGCTATTAGGAATAATGTTACCAAGAACATTTTTTTGGGTACAAGTTTTTGTATGGACATATGTTTTCATTTCTCTTTGGGTGTATACCTGGGAGTGGAAATGCTGGGTCATATTGTAACTCTGTGTTTAACATTTTGAGGAACTGTCCCATCTCTTTTCCAGAGTGGCTGCACCATTTTACACTCTCCTCAGCAGTGTATGAGGGCTGTTATTTCTCCACAGCCTCATCTCCAGAGCCTTGTTATTGTCTGTCTTTTTGATTATAGCCATCCTTGGGGGTGTGACATGGTACCTCATTGTGATATTGATTTGCATCTCCCTAATGACTAATAATGTTGAACATTTTTTCATGTGCTTATTAGCCATTTGTATATTTTTAAATCCTTTGCCTATTAAAAACATGAATACGTTTTGATCCAGCAACTCTACTTCTTTTTATCTATCCTAGAGAAATCCTCATGCATGTGCACAATGAGACCTGTGTAAGGATATTCATACAGCATTGTTTGTAAAAGGAACAACTTGGAAATAAATTGAATTACTGTCAGGGGATTGGGTAAATACACATCCTTTTGAAAGTATTTTTCAGGCTGTGATCTGTTGGCAGCTTATGAAATTCAGTTCAGTAGATTGCAACCAGAATTTTAAAAAATGGAATAGAACAGAAGAGCAAACATTTCAAGAATTAGGGGTTGTACCTTTCCTTCTATGGGTCACGGGCAGTAAAGTTTGAAAACCACTGCTGTGGAATGCTTTGTAGGAGTTGAAAACCTTGAGGTAGGTCTATTTGTAGTGCCATGGAAACATCTTTAGGACACACTAACTGAAGAAAAGATGCTGTAGAATAATATATACAGTCTGATTGTATTTGTTTTATTTTTAAGCCACAAAATAAAACTACGTCTCTATGTATGGAAATACGTAGGAAAAGGTCTGCCGGCTACATGTCTTGCTGACAGTGGTGGTTACCTCTTAGGGGCCTGAGATGGGAGTGAGGAGCAGTCAAGGAGAGCTTTAGGTTTATCTGTATTTTTTGTGTTTATATACTCCCTGTCTCATTAAGAATACATCACATAGAATGAAAAATGAATTGTTGAAAGACAAACAAACATGCACTTGGTGTAACTGTTTTCTGTATGTGATGTCCAGTTCCATCCACGGCTCTTGTAACACTTTCTCAGTGAAACGCTTAGGCCTCATTGGGTCTTGTGTGAATGGACAGTTGTTGCTGCCACATACAGGCATAGAAAGATGTCGCGCATTTTGAGTGGCCGTAGAGCACAATGGGAGGATGAGGGGTGGAGCTCAGGGGAGGGTCCCTTCATTCGCTCGACAAACAGTCGACAGACAGCAGCTGCAGTGACCGCGCTGTGCCGAGCCCTGGAAATCCTCAGCCTGAGTTCATCTGGACCTCACCACAGCCCCCTTCCGGAAGGCGTAGGGCTGCCGGGGTGGTGTAGAGGTGAAGAGCTTGGGGTTTGAAACCAGGCCAGTCTGGGTTTTTCAGCTTACTCACTTTTCTGGGCCTCTGTTTCCTCATTTAAAAAAAATGGCAGCATTGGAAAACTACCACCTGGGGCCGGCCCCGTGGCCGAGTGATTGAGTTCGTGCTCTCTGCTTCAGCGGCCGGGGTTTGACTGGTTCAGATCCTGGGCATGGACATGGCACCGCTCATCAAGCCACGCTGAGGCGGTGTCCCACATGCCACAACTAGAAGGACCTACAGCTAGAATATACAAGTGTGTACTGGGGGGCTTTGGGGAGAGAAGGAAAAAAAAGATTGGCAACAGATGTTAGCTCAGGGCCAATCTTTAAAAAAGAAAAACTACCACTAACCATAGGAGAGCTCTGGTGGGGATGAAGTGGGAGGTGCCTGTCCGGTCCTGAGGGGGCCCTGCTCAGAGTGGATGCCCCGACAGGGTGGGTTGTCATGATTATGCTGTATTTGCACGTGAGGAAACTGGTGCAGACTGTGTGCATTTGTGTCAGAGCTTTGGGTGGCCCAGACACAGGTTCGCAAGTGGAATGGGCACCAAGAAACCTGGAGTTTGGGCTCAGCTTAGCTACTATGCCCTTGTGATTTTGAGCAAACAAATTCCTTCCCTTTCTGGGCCTTAGTACCCCCATCTATACCGTCACAAGATGCTATCTAAGCCCTCTTCCTGTGCTGGCATAGCTGTGATTTCTAGTAGGGCCCCATGAAGCCTCAGCCTTAGTTTTAGTTCTAAGGCTAAGAATGAATGATCAGAATGGGAAGAGGGAGCCACTTAGAGCTGGAGGTGTGGCCGGAACCAACTGGAGCGTGCAGAGGCAGAGACTAATAGCATTTTAAAAGTGGGTAGGTAAAACCCCAGTGGAAATTTGGCAGGAACCAGGCAGGAATTTCTGCCTTAAATAGTGGTTTCTTCTAAGAGTTGGCATATCAAATGTCATTTTTCAATCTTCAGTGTTTGCCTGTTGGAAACTTGTCTAAGCCCACATTCTTTGGCTTTGCCTGCCATGTGGTTTTCAACTGTGCTTGATCTTGGCTTGAGTAATGGATGGGCCTTTTCAGCCAATGGTAGTAAGTTAAGGGCTGTGGTGGAGGGAACCCCAGATTGGGAATGTAGAGACCGGACTGTAGGCTAAGCTTGACTGATAACCTGGTGTGTGACTTTGGGCCTCTGGGTCACTCTGCAAAAGGTAGTGGTTGAACTTGATTTTAATTTCTAAAATCCAATTTAGAAAATGGAGTTTGTCCTTGTAGTGATACTTATTGGAGGAAATTGAGAATTATAGAATATTAAAAAGGAGGAAAATATCTCCCAGTCTCCTACAAATGTAGATTTTTAATATTTGCTTTGTCTTGTGTAATTATAGCCCACCCAGTTTCTGAGAAGGATTTGAGGTGACTTTGGTGTCCATGTATGGGTTTTTTTTCATAATTGAGGGCACATTCTGCTTGAGTGTTTTTTCAGTTACCTTTATAGCACACTCATTTTATATAATCATTCTCTTAATGGTGGAACTTTTTGGCATCCGGTTTTTTGCTTGGTTTGGTGATCAGGCAAAATGGTCCTAGGAACAGAACGTGTTTGGATTTAGAGGCATGGAGAGAACAAACTGCCAAGAAGTCAAGCCGAGCTTCCATCAACTCCTGGTCTACAGCTTGGGAGAAGGAAGGATTATTGAGGATTAGACAGAAAAGGCTTGGATTCTGGACACTCTTCTCCATTTAGCTGCCATGTGACTCTGCCGAGGCCACTGAAATGATCTTGGCCTTGGCGCCTTCCTTTGAAAAATGTGTGGACCTTTGGGGAATGGAGCAGTTCTCACGGTGGTAAATCTTTTATAAATTGCAAAGCACTGTCTGTTTCAAGATGACAGAGATATTTTCTCCCATTTGTGGAGTGCTCACAGTGTGCCTGGTGCCTTGCTGGGTGCTTTGTGTCTTGTTTAATTGCCAATTACTCTGCGCAGTAGCTGCTGTTCTCCTTTTACAGATGGAGGGAGCGAGGCTCGGCGAGGGATGTGGCAGAGCTTAGAATAGAATCCAGGGTAGTGTCTTTTGTGTCAAACCACACCTCCTATTATGGTTTAGTTTTCCGTCAGTGTCTCCAGATCCTCACTGACAGCCAGTAAAACTTCTCGGATCAGTGAATTTTGCATTTTTGTTTGACAGTCTTAAAGCGTCTCAGTTGGTGCCTGATTCTTGGAAGCTTAATTTTGGTTGTGATAGGCATATTAATGATGGTAATAGTAATGACAAAAACAGTAGCAGATGCCATTTATCGGCACTTACTATGTGCTAAGTGTTTGTATACATTAACTCACTTAATCTTTACAGGTAGAGGGTGGTATCCCCATGTAATGTTAAGAAAGTGAGAGTCAGAAACATAAGCAGCATGTATTTGGCACAGTGCCTTTGCGTGTAGCACATACGTGGCACACAGAATACGTGATGTATGAATAAATAAATTAATGAATGACTAACTTTACTGAAGGTCATTGAGCTATTAAGTGTCAGAGCCAGAACTCAGCCCTGAAGCCTGAGTTCTTTTTTTTTAAGGAACGTTAGCCCTGAGCTAACTGCTGCTAATTCTCCACTTTTTGCTGAGGAAGACTGGCCCTGAGCTAACATCCGTGCCCATCTTCCTCTGCTTTATATGTGGGACACCTACCACAGCATGGCATGCCAAGTGGTGCCATGTCCGCACCTGGGATCCGAACCGGTGAACCCCGGGCTGCCCAGAATCGGAATGTGCGAACTTAACCGCTGTGCCACTGGGCTGGTCCCAAGCCTGAGTTCTTAACCTCTGTACTGCATGCCTCCCAGATGGCCCAGCTGCGTGTCCTTTGTTGCCCATGGCCGGATGATTGTCCTGTGCAGTTCAGGCAGTCTTAACAGTCTCTGTTGTTCAAACACTAACTCATCTCTTTTTTTTTTAAGGAAGATTAGCCCTGAGCTAACGTCTGTGCCCAGCTTCTCTATTTTATATGTGGGACGCCTGCCACAGCATGGCTTGATAAGTGGTGCATGGGTCTGCATGCAGGATCCAAATCGGTGAACCCCGCTTCTGAAGTGGAACGTACAAACTTAACTGCTGCACCACTAGACAGGCCCCGACTAACTCATCTCTTATTGCACATGTTCTCTCCTAGTGGCCTTGTTCCCAATTTACCAGATGACCTGGAAGGCGTCAACTCCGTCGCTGGTTTGGGAAATGGTGGTAAGTACACAAAGCCAGGCGTTCTCTTGAGTAAGAACAAGTCAGGTAGACAGCAGACCATGGGGCCCTTGAGGCCGGAGCCTGGGATGGAGCTCTGATGTCTCTGGTGCTCCCAGCAGGGGTTCAGTATGTTACATATGTATTGCTTTGCTGTTCCCCTCCTTTCATAAACACTAGACTAGAGCAAGTGATGTCCTTTAGGCCATAGTTCATGAGTGTTGTTTCTTGCTACCAGGCTTGCGGGGATTCAGCCAGTGTTTGCTGAACTGAACGACCTCATGGAGGCTGGATGTTGACTTGGTGACTTGGTCAGGCACGGAGGGTCTGTTGGGCTCTGCTGCCGAGTGGCTGGAGGCCCTGGAGAGCTGCTGTCTGAACTCGAGTGTGCCAAGGCCTTCCTGGTAGGCTGCGGGATTCCGTTTGCCGGCTGAGGCCCAGCATTCCTACACGGGCCTGCCCTTTGGAGACAAACAGTTGGTTAGACCGCAGGAGACGGTGCTGCGTAAATAAGCAGTCTATTGTGTTTAAGCTGGATCAGGAGGAGACTTTCTGCCTTGCAGTTTGGGTTTGCTAAGCATCCTTCATAATTTTTGTTTCTGAAAAAAGTGAATGCTGTTGTAAGTATCTGTGGGACGTGCTAATATTTTGTCTTGTTGAAATATCTTAGAGATTTTGACTTGTGTTTTTTTTCTCTTCTCCAAAGTGATGCGATATGTGCAAAAGGAAGAAGTTTTTAGAGCAGACAGTCTAAGTGTCACAAGGTTTATTTCTGGAGAATGTTTTAACTTATAGGCCACCCTCAGGTTTTCCTTCAGAGTCTGGTAGCTTTTACTTTAAATGCAGCGCCTAGCAGTTCTGGTTTCTCTTCTTCCTGCCCACAGACGGTTGGAAGCAGAAAATGGAGAGGCCTGCTCCTTAATTCAGCCCATGGTGTGCATCTGCCTCCCGCCAGGCTCTGGGCTAAGCGCTGGGCTTCAGCCTCGGACACGGTTACGATCCAGCCCGGAAGACAGACAATTAAACCAAGAATTGTTCGGATCAATCATGTGATCATTGAATGAGCAAAGAAGGAAAAGGCACTGGGAGAGGGGGGGAGAGGGAGACCCGCCCTGGTGTGGAGGAGGCGGGTCAGGCATGAGTTTCCCCAGAAACTGAGGCTGGAGCTGAGACTTGAGGAATGAGTAGGACCCGGGTGGGGGCACAGACACAGGTGACAGCATGGCCCGTTAGAGAAACAGGGAAACAAATCCGTGTGCCCTTGGTCTGGCGCACAGGGCTCTTCACAGTCTGCCCCTGCCCAGCTCCTGGGCCTCTTTCCTGCTGAACTCCGTGCGCACTCCCATCCTGGGCCTTCGTGTGGGAAATGCCTGCTTCCTTTTGCCCTCATCTGCCTGCTGCCTCCTTAAGACTCGGCTTCAAGCCCGCCGCCTTCTTTGGCTCTCCCCAGGCTGACTTGGGTGCGCTTTCCTCTCTGAACCGTATCTATTTCACTCCATTTCATTTCATTTGTTCCTGTTGGCCGCTTTAAAAATAGACAGAGTCAGCCCACTTCTCACCTGCATGTGCTCCTACCGCCCTGGTCTGAGCCACCGTGGTCTCTGGCCTGCATCGTCCCAGTATTCTCCTGACTGGTCTCCTTGTTTCTCTCTAAGTGCCGTTCAGTCTATTCTCAGCGAGGCAGCCAGAGGGAGCCTGTCGAAACCTGAGTCGCTCCAGCGGCTCCTTGGAGTCCTGAGAAGAGCCTGCAAGGCCATACACAGCCTGTCCCCCAGGCCCTCGCTCACCTCCCCTCCTGCTGTCCCTTTACTGCTCTCCAGTCGCTCACCTCTTGGCAGCTCCTCAGATCCCCTAGGCATGCTCCCACCCAGCTCTCCCTTTGCCCTTGTCTTCGCGTCTGCCCAGGTGTCCCCTTCTCAGTGAGACTGTCCTTAATTTAACCTCCTATTGAAAATTACAGTCCTCAACCCACCCATGGTATTGCTGTCCGTATCCACTTTATTTTTCTCCATGGCATTTAGCACCTTTCAACATCCTGTTATAATTGCCCTATTTTGTTTGTTGTCTGTCTCCTCCTTCTAAAGTATCAGCTCCATTTGTTTGCTTTCCTGATGTGGCCACATCTAGAAAGGTGCCTAGCAGAGACTAGGCCCTCAGCACATATTTGTTGGAAGAATGAATTCATTCATTCACTCCACACACGTTTACTCAACAGCTCCAGAGGCCAGGCGCCTGGTGCGGCATGAGAACAGTTTGTTTCCGTCTTCGTCCTGCCCCCTGGATCGGGCCACTCTTGGGAGCAGGATCAGTGTCCCCTTCACTGTTGTTTCCCAGCACCTGGCGTGGTGCGTGGCACTTAGTGGGTGTGTAATAAATGTTTACTGAATTAAAGAAGCTGTGGAAGGACTGGGGTTTTGGCAGTCTTTAGCCACTCGAAAGCTGGGATTGGCAGTTTCCGGCCCACTGCCTCCTTTTGAAAATAAACTTTTGTTGGAACACAGCTTCTTTATTTGTTGATGAATTGTCTGTGGCTGTTTTTGTGCTACCACAGAAAAGTTGAACAGTTGCCACGCATTTCAGGCATTATGTATGGCGGACAAAGCCTCAAATGTTTATCGTCTGGCGTTTTAAGAAAAAGTTTGCCGACGCCACTGTCAAGTAGGTTAGACATGGTTTGTTTTAATTGCTGACGTGTGAAGATGACATCCTGTTCAGCAAAATAATTTTCTGACAAGCAGTAGGAAGTACCCCTCAGGACAGCTCTGCTTTGCCATGTACCCAGTGCATTTTTTGGGTTCAGCCTCTGACACATGCGTGATTACATTGGAGCTAGTTTAAGTAATTTGTAAATATTTGAAATATAATGGCTTAGAGCTTTCCCTGGGCTCGAGTCAGTAAATCACAACAGACAGAAAGAACCAGCAGAATCTGCTGTGGAAGCTACTCACGTTGTTTTTTTTTCCAGTTCTATTCCCGAATGGGGATGCTGGGCAGTTTGCACAGCATGACGTTTTCCTCTATTTTACCTTTTTATAGTGCTCCCGAGTGTGACGGAAGAAACAGTGTCTCCCACCAGAGCACGGAACATGAAGGACTTTGAAAATGTAAGTGGAGATACCAAATCATCGTCCCTAACAAATCACATCTGCTGCCACTGTCCAAGCAGCCCCAGGAGGGAGCTGCATTTCTAGAGAAGTCTCTAGGCCAGGTGATGCTGGAGTAGGAGGAACGCCGTGTCTCGTGGCAGTCGTTGTGTGGCTGTTACGGGCCTACGCAGTCGGCCCCTTATACGCGGGCCAGTCGTGGGTCTGACAGGATCAGCAGTTTCCAACTTTGGGGGCTGTGGTGTATTTCTGGCGTCCTGGATGTGAGGATATTACCATAATGCACAGCTGAGAGGCGCTAGCGTTTGTCAAGGCTTTCCTGTTACGTCAGGCGCGTTATCTATGGTCCCCATTTAATCCTTGCTGCAACTCTTGGAGGTGTTTTGTATTATCCCCATTTTGCAGAAAAGGAATCTTAGGACGAGGAGAGGCTTGTTTACGGCCACGTCATACCTAAGTGGCAGAGCTGGGATTTGAATCCAGATTTTCAGTGACTCCAAAGCCGTTAATCTCTCCCCCCGCATCGGGCCGACTCCTTGCGTTCTGTAGGCCTGGTCTGAGCTGCTGAATGAAACATGAGCGGCCCGTACCCGGGGCTGCGTGGCGCTTGTCTGAGGGTGGCTTGCTTGCTGATGGATTTGCCTTCGATGCGTAATGTCTTCCAGCATCGTGTGTTTCATTTGTTAGTAGAGGGGGTTTGTTGTCAAGTAACAGGAAAATAAGGTTATTCTCCCAATTCCAATTCTCCTTAACAAGTTACCTGTTCAGCGCTCTCATTTATCATGGGAAGAATTAGACCCTTCTTCATTTGTAACCAAATGAAATCCATACTATGCAAGACACAGGAGATATTTATCAGAGGTAAGATGGAGGACACGGAGAGAAGGACGTTCCACAATTATGTTTCTCTCTCCCCAGTTGTCTTTACAGAACAGAGCGGTACTGTCCCCGGATTTAATTTAGAATACTCATTACTGCTAATAGTTATCTGCAAACCACCAGTGACCAATTGAAGAAATGACTTGTCAGATCTCTAATGGAAACAAGTAATTTCTGAGCATGGAGTTGTTATAATTTCAACTGTACAACTCGATCTATGCTGTGGGGTCTGGGGCCGCAAACGAATGAGATTTGATTATTCCACATCGTGTATAATTAAAATGTGCTCTGCTATTAAATGGTTGTTCCTGATTTATCATAAGAGTAATAACAGCAACTGTTTATTGAGCTCTTGGTCTGAGCTGGGCACTCTCAGTGTTAAGCTCTTCATATACATTACTTTAGTATTAAAGCCGCTCTGCAAGATATAATAGAGTTATTTAATTTATGAAGGGCACAGTTTTGAATTTTATTTCTAGATGGAAAAATGTAACAGAATCTTAGAGTTTTGGTTTCACATTTTATCGTCTGCCTTTTGAACTGGGAGGAATCGTAGAATTGAATCCAACCTTCTTTATTATATTCAGGAGGCCCAGGAAAGTGATGCAGCAAAGTTGTGCTCAGAGGCAGTCTGTGCTGCCTAAGGACCACCGCCCCTGGAGCCAGACTGTCTGCCCATCCATTTCTGCTGGGCCAGTCACTTAACCTCTCTGTTCTTTCTTTGTCTTTAAAATGGGCATGATAATAGCTTCTGCTTCATAGGGCTATTGTGAGGATTGAGTGAATATATGTGAAGCACATAAGCCTAGCACAGAGTTTATTCTGTGTTAGCTATTTCTCCTTCTTATTGTTTTATTTATTATTGTTATTTTTTCCTACTCTGCCATGTGATTCAAGTTTCCTTTGTTCAGATGTGTTCTTGATGAGCTTAAGACTGTTTTTCTTAAAAGTGATGGAGGGCCTTCTCTGCCACTGTGTTTTAGGATTTACGCTTTTTCTTTATGACTGTGGTCCTTTGGCTGCTGTTAGGTTTTTATGGCATTCATATTTTTTATTGTAGCATTTTCAAGAGCAAATTCTGCATTTGAAATTGAAATGACCACACTGTTCTCAGTGTCTCCCTATCAGGTCTTTATAAGTCACTGAAAATTTCATCTGGCCTGAGCTCCTAAATGCGTGATGTCCATGTTGAGGTAGTCTGGACTTTCTGTGGGATGCTTCTAGGAAATGCTTTTGGCATCTCATGCCACTTTTAAAGCTAGCTTGCATACTAAAGAGGAGGCTGGAATATTTTTGACTTTAAGGGAAACCCACGATTCCTCTTGTTCTAGTCTCAGCTGACAGGTATCTGAACGTCAGGGTCTGTTAGCTAGGGTCTAGCAAGACGTAGGCCTCCTTCTGATTTTGCTTAGAGTTCGTCTGTTCATCAATAAATATCTTCAAATATATGCCATGTGCCAGGCTGTGCCAGCAGCCGGGAAATTTGCAGTAGATTAAGACGAAGTAAGTCTCCCTGTCAGGACGCTCATCGTCTAGTTGGGGAGATGGGTAGGAAAGTAGTGCGGTGATGGGGTAAGTACAGGGCGCTGTGGGTGCAGAGGAGCGGCCCCACTCCTGGCCCGAGGGATCCCGGGAAGCCTCCCTGGAGGAGGTGTTCCTTGACTTGGGTCATCAGGGACAAGTAGGGATTAGCCAAGGTGAGAGGACGGAGAGCATTCCAGCACGAGGACTCTTACGTGCAAGCAGAGAGAGAGACGTGATAGGGTGTGATGAGATTTAGGGGCTTGCGAGTTCCCTCGCTGGAAGGAGGCTGTGTAAGGGCCTGAGAGGAGCGAGGCCACTGGCGCAGGCTGGGCCGCATCCTGCAGGGTCTGTGTGTTCCTCCGCTTTGTTTGGTTTTTCTCCTGGAGATGAAGGGGAGCGGTGAGAGGGATTTTAGTCAGAGGAGGGAAATGACCAGAACTGTGCTGGAGGAGGGAGCAGGGCTGGTGGCGGCGAGATCAGTTAAAGGCTGCGGCTGCGGCGCTGTGGGAAGAGGGGTGACGATGTCCAGAAGAGAATTTCAGAGCTAGAGGAGCCCCAGGAATCAGCTCATCCACGCCCTTCGTTTGACACGTGGGGCTCTGAAGCCCAGAGAGGGGAGGGACTTATTCAGGCGTTGAACCCAGGTCCTCTTGGGCAGCACGTCTTCCTGCTGCGCCCTGCTGTCCTGTGCAAGCCCCCACTCTGACGCGTGGGTGCCTGTGCACGCCGCATGCCTTCTTTTGGGTCTTTAGACCGGTAATCCGTTGTCTCCTACCCTCAGTAGCTGAGGGTGTGCGCACTTGCGTGGCAGGCCTCATGGTGGGAAGTTGGCAAATTGGTTTGTTCTTTAGTGGGAGCCTGTGTTATTGGTCCTTCCTAGATGACGACGTAGTGGGGGGCTCCCCGGACCAGAGGAGGCCTGGGGGGCCAGCATTTTGTAAAGGATTGTGCTTATCTGGTGTGGCCTGTTCTGGAAACGAGAATCAATCTCTCTCTCTTTTTAAGAGAAAAAGTGGGGAAGACGCAGAATCTGGTTCAGCACATCCAGTCCAGGTAGCCATCTTTATCCATATGTAGAAGAGTTTAATTCTGGCTTTTTCTGTGACCTTCCTGACAGAGAATGACACGGGTAGCTTTCCATCTCCATTAACACTGATGGATAGCATTATTTAATGACTGTCTAATAGTTCGTAAAGACCTGTGTTCAAAGGGATGGGTTGAACATAATTTATATAATCTCTTACTGTGGGGCATTCCAGGTTGTTCCTAATTTTTCACTGTTACAAACAAAGCTGTGATGAATATGCTTGTGCATGTATCTTTTTATAGTTTTGTGATTACTTCCTGAGGGTAAATTCCTAGAAATGGGATTTCTGTGGCAGAGGTTTTAAGTATAACACATACAACAAACAATAGATGCTCCAGAGTAGGATCTTTATTTGTAGTGGCTTCCCTTCTGAGGAATTGGGAAAATGCTTAGCTAGGTGTGGCTGAAACAGTTGTCCGCATTCTGTTCCCACCCGGGTCTCTCTTCATCCTTATCCTGTGCTGGCTTGTCTCGTACCCACCAGCCCCGAGGTGATGGTGTTCTTGTATCCAGGCCCTTTCTCCTTTTTGTTGAAAATTCTTGGTCTCAGCCGAGGCACTTGGTCAAATTTGGTGTTGTGTCTAAGGTATGGCTGGGAGGTTTGCATCTGCCAGTTTGCTCTGTAACCTCTATGTTATGAATTACTTTATTTCTAGAGAATAGCTCCCTTCACCCCCACCCCCTGCCTCATTTGTACGACCCTGAAGCTTCAGAAGAAGCACTGTGGTGTATGGATACAACCTGGACTTGAGAATGACCAGAATTGGGTTTTAGGTCTGGCGCTGCCACTTAGTGACCTGTGACCTTGGTTAGGTTGCTTCTAGAACCTCATCTGTAAAGTGGGGCTAATGTCATCTTTCATTCAGAGTTGTTATGAAGATTATGTGGGTTATGGTATGGAAAGCACCTAGCATCTCGCCTGGCACATAGTGGGTACTCAGTAAATAATGATGTCCTCTCTCATTATTAAAGCCCTTGAAACTGACCCCCGGAGTGCACCTCCCTTCGATTTCAGGTGAGGGCACCTGGTCGGAGTTGCCCTGATTCTTTTTTATGCTGTTGGTTTTTGTTTTTCTTCCCGTTGTGATGGAGCTCTGGGCTAGGCAAAGCTTTTGACAGGGCGTGGGAGTGGGAGGAGGCCAGGATGACTGAGTGGCAGCTCCTTCAGAGTGTCCCGCAGTGGAGCCGGGCCCCTCTCCAGCTTCGGAGAGCGCCACCCCGTAATCATGTTGGGACGTTTCCCATTTCAGATGGCGGCAGTTCCACAATAACACTTGGGTTCCAGGGGCTGGAATGTGGCAAGCACAGCGCTTGCATTAGCTTACTTTTGAGCATTAAGTTTCTCAGTCATATTTGGTGGGTTTTGTATTTTGGGGTGTTTATTCCTACTGCACAGTAAGCTGTTTTCAGTTTTTCCAGCTCAAGTTTTTTTTTTTTTAACTTTTTGAACTTGTTTCTCTTAAAGGGAAAAGTACAAATGAGAAGAACATTAATATGTTTCAAGTTCTTA